CCAACTTGTGTGTCCTTAAGAACATCATTGTTCACAGGAAAAGACACGTTGGGCTCCTTGGCTTCTGGCAACAATGTTGTAGCCATACTCGTCGATGGCGTTTGGTTGACATTGGCTAGCCGATCAACCATCAACTCATCGCACGCAACAGACATGGTTTCAGATTTAAACACATCAAAATCACATGTGGCTCTATGTATTGACATACTAAAATCAGAAACACAATCATCCAACTTATCAAACCATCGATATATTTTTTTTTCAAGATTATCCATTTTTTTGTCAAGAGAAGTTAAAATGAGATTTACCTGTTGGCTATCTCTGCCGAGTTCAGCCACTACTTGGCGGAGCATTCGCTGCATCTCATCCTGATCGGTGATTTGCGCCACTGATTGCACCTCCGCTCCAGCATTGTCACTTGAAGCACTTACGACGTCGTCAACCTCGATGTTGACTAGTTGATCCTCCTCCTCCACGGAGACTTGTGGAAGAAAATCTTCTTTTCCTCGTCGCAAAGCCATATCAAACACACGTGTCCCACCAGGTGTGCCAATTTGTTTCCTCGGGAAAAACAAAAGCCACCGCCGGTGCCGAATTCGTTTCCGGCGATGTTGATTTGATGTTTCGCGGTGGAAACTCTTGCGGTGCCGTTTGATCGACTGCACCGCTAATTGCTGAAATCGAGACGACCGTCAAATATCCGCCGCCGAATGTCGGCGCCGTTGATTTGATCGATGCACCTCTAAATGGTGAAATCAACGTGACCGTCAAATATCCACCGTCGGGCGGTGTTGATCTGATCGATGCACCTTTGACTTCTAACCAAGAACGACCGTTACTACGGTTCGCACCTCTCCAAACTACGTTCGAACGAGGGTGTTTGAGTTTTGAGGAATCTACGCTACCGCTACTCCTATGGAGATTCCTGTGGAGAGCTCCGCGACTACGACTAAGACTACAACTATGGAGATCCTTCCTGGAAGGAGAGCTCCGCGAAGGAGTTACAGAGAAAAAGATAAGTTTGACAGATGTGTTTCTGTGTTGATTTGGTTGTCCCCTCTCTCTACTTGCTCCGCTGCTTTTATTCGAAAAACCGCTTCGTAGTCTTCACGCTAGGTGGAACCGCTTCCTCAACTGCTCCGATGTGAACTCCCACGTGTCTCAACCGTCTTGATCTCCTCCTCACTCGGGTTGGTGTGAATCTCACGCGATGTCGTTTTCTTCCCCAAACAGCTCTGTTTGCTTTTTTACTCCACGACATTGTTTTATATTAAACACTGTCGTTTTCTAATCCGCGACACCGATGAGCCTACTCGCGGTACTTTTTTGAATTAAACCACACCACCTAACATATTAAAAAGAAGCACCAACGTATTAAATTGCCGCGATCTCGCACGTTTGGGCTGGGCGGATTTTTGGGCCAGTCACTTACCCGATATGGTTTTTAATTAATCGGCACCACTTATCAGGCTCTCGCGGCACCGTTTTTAAATCCGCGGTACCGTTTTAATTCTCCGCGATACCGCTTATCTCCATGCGGTACCGCTTCTCCCCTTCCCACAAGGAATAAATAAAATAAAATAAAATACTCCTTTTCCAACACCAATGCTACACACGCGGCCCGCCTCTTGTTTTCCGACAAACAGTGTCGTTTCCAGTGCCGCGGTTCCATAAGAAATGGTCGTGTAACAACACTACAGACCAAACAACATTGCAATTGCAAGAAGAAAAATCACCGTTGGTAAAGACAAGGATGTAAATATTTGTTAGCTACTTGCTGGTTTGATTAGCTAAATGTGGCCAAGAAAATTTCACGAGTGAAAGGCCAGCCATGTTGATGAAATTTTAGGTGGTATATATTGTGTCAACAATTTGGTTTATAATTCTTATAAACCAAATTGTGGGGGGCATTTGTTGACACCTAAAATTAATTTGGCATGAATTAAATGCCGCATTAATTAGTCTCGGCATTTAATTCGATACCGCTGGTAAAAAACGGTGTCGTTTGGAGTTGAGCGGTATCGCAAGAAGTTAAAACGATACCGCGAAACAACGGTACCGCAAGGAGGCTCAACGGTACCGCGGTACTGGAAACGATAATAAAAAGGGCCGTGCGTGCGGGTTCTTGTTGGAGAAGGAGTTTTGTTCATAATTAATTAATATTTTTATTATTCCTTGTTGGAGGAGGAAAATCGGTACCGCACGGAGACAAGCGGTACCGCAGAGCTAAAACGGTACCGCGAGGAAGCCCAACGGTACCGCTATACTAGCAAACGACCGTGTTTAATAATAAACAGTGTCGCGGAAGAAAAAAAACAAACGGAGTTGGTTGAGAAAGAAAACGACACCGCAAGGTTGGAAGCGGAGTCGTTTAATATTAAAACGATGTCGCGGGTAGAATCAAGCGGAGCTGCTTGGGAAAGGAAACGACATCGCGGGATCATGAAAGCAACTCACGTAAAGTTCACGCGAAGCAGTTTGAGGAGCGAAGCGGTTGAGATACGTGGGATTTCACAACGGAGCAGTTGAGGAAGCGGTTCCACCGAGCGTGAAGGCTACGAAGCAGTTTCTCGAATAAAAGCAGTGAAGCAAGGAGAGAGAAAGGAGAACCAAAATCAACACAGAACAACTCTGTCAAACTTATATTTTTCTCTGTAGCTCCTTCGCGGAGCTCTCCTTCTAGGAAGGATCTCCATAGTCATAGTCGTAGTGTAGTCGCGGAGCTCTCCACAGGAATCTCCATAGGAGTAGTCGTAACGTAGATTCCTCAAAAACTCAAACACCCTCAACACGTGTGTTGGTATTTTGTTTACCACGACCATGATCTTTGCACTTATCATACAACAACTTTGCATCCTTTGAACTCTTACGTGAGACTGGAGTTTGTTGGCCATGGTACTTGTCCCCCAATCCGCCATTCATAGCAGACTTGTTCCTCATAAGCACTGGTGTTGCAACTCCCTGTCGTGCTTGACCGAACTTGCCCCCCTGTCCACTCAATAAAAACTTCAGGGATGATTTACGTGAACGATCCTGTTGAGTCATGCCAACTTTGTTGGCATTAGATTTTTCTACGTGGTTACCATCCCCACACCGAAGAGTATTTGAGGAAACCATTGTTTGATTTTTCCTAGAGCAGGGTGGGTGTGGCCAACTTCTTTGCCATCCACGATGTTGTTTCTCCTTCAATCTACCACGAGCTGGGATGGCATGCCCCCCTAGAGGCTTAGATTGAAGAATGTGGTAAAATTTGTCATCTTTCAAGATATCACACTTGTTCTTCTTAATTTTCTGAAACTTATTATGAACACGTTTAAATTTTGTTCTTTGTTGTGGCTTTCGCAAGACCGCTCTAACTTTCCTGTCCTTCAAAACAATAGTGTTCACAGGAGAACCAACATGAGATTTGTTGGCCCCTAACGCCACTGTTTTAGCCACAAGTTTAAGTAAATCCTTATTGGCAATACCGGAAACATGTTCATCTATCATCTCAAAAAATTTATCCATATGTCTTCCAAGAGAATCACAAGGCTTATTTAAAGAGATAAAATAGAGATTTACCTGCCGGTAATACTCCTCTATAGATCGACGAAGAGACAGGAGTGCAACATGCCCATCGATGCTCGACATGGATTGGGGCCACTCCTTCATCCAACCGATATGCCTATTTGCCTCCTCTGCTCGGTCAACTTCAATGCCGACCACACGCTCCACCTTCACAGATTCTTGTGGAAGATCAACGTTGTGTTTTCCATGCCGCAGAGCCATATTTCACTTCAAACACACGTGTCCCACCAGGTGTGCCAAATTGTTTCGTCGAGAAAACCAAATGCCACCGCCGGTGCCGAATTCGTTCCCGGCGATGTTGATTTGATGTTTCGCGGTGGAAACTCTCGCGGTGCCGTTTGATCGAATGCACCGCTAATTGCTGAAATCGAGACGACCGTCAAATATCCGCCGCCGAATGTCGGCGCCGTTGATTTGATCGATGCACCTCTAATGGTGAAATCAACGTGACCGTCAAATATCCACCGCCGGGCGGTGTTGATTCGATCGATGCACCTCTGACTTCTAACCAACGCGACCGTTACTACGGTTCGCACCTCTCCAAACTACGTTCGAACGAGGGTGTTTGAGTTTTTGGGGAATCTACGTTACCGCTACTCCTATGGAGATTCCTGTGGAGAGCTCCGCGACTACGACTACTTCTACCAACTATGGAGATCCTTCCTGGAAGGAGAGCTCCGCGAAGGAGTTACAGAGAAAAGGTAAAGTTTGACAGAGTTGATCTGTGTTGATTTTTGGTTGTCCCCTCTCTCTCCTTGCAGGGTTGATTTTATCTAAAACCAACTTCGTAGTCTTCACGCTCTGTAGAACTGCTTCCTCAACTGCCCCGTCCTGAAATCCCACGTGTCTCAACCGCTTCGCTCCTCAAACTGCTTCGCGTGAACTTTACGTGAGTTGTTTTCATGATCCCGCGATGTCGTTTCCTTTCCCAAACAGCTCCGCTTGATTCTACCCGCGACATCGTTTTAATATTAAACGACTCCGCTTCCAGCCTTGTCGTGTCGTTTTCTTTCCCAACCAGCTTCGTTTGTTTTTTTCTTCCCCGACACTGTTTATTATTAAACACTGTCGTTTGCTAGTATAGCGGTACCGTTGGGCTTCCTCGCGGTACCGTTTTTAATTCCGCGGCACCGTTTTAGCTCTCCTCGGTGCCGCTTCTCCCAATCCAACAAGGAAAAAATAATAATTAATTAGAGAAAACTCCTTCTCCAATACCCACGCGCGGCCCTTTTTTATTTTCGGCCAGCGGTGTCGTTTCCGGTGTTGCGGTACCGCTGAGCTTCCTTGCGGTACCGTTTTTCTGTTTCGCAGTATCGTTTTAACTCTCCTCGACACCGCTCGACTCCAAACGACACCGTTCTTTACCCGCGGTATCGAATTAAATGCCGAGACTAATTAATGCGGCATTTAATTCAGGCCACATTAATTTTAGGTGTCAACAATGCCTCAGCCCCAAAGTCAGCGAAACAGCTCCATTCCCACCGCCCATCTGATGATCACTCCCCTGGAAGGGGAGGAAGTTCATTAGCGAACCATTTCCATTCATGGCTGCAGCTGCTGGAACTTGGAAATCCACTCTGGACCTCTTCTCCTGCTTCCAGTATTGCTCCCTATGAAGCTTCTGCTGCTGCTGATGGTGACCATGTCCTTGTTCTTGACTCGATGTCGTCGGTCCCATCACTGCAGAATTCGACACAGGATCGACATTATTGCACTTGCTTTGGCTGGTTCCTGCTTGGCCTTTGTTCTCAAGCATGTGGATCTCCTCCACCATGGGCTTCCAGACACGAACCCGGGCGTTGATGAACCAATTCGACACCTGCATTACAACGAAACGATGTCACAATCATGCTGATTGGACTACTGACAGTATATCTGTATATGCCAATTCAATCAAAAAACATGAATTGATTGAACCATAGGGAGATCTCTAATGATTGTTCAAATAATTATGTGTACAACGAAACTGATTGATGGTCTGTTTACCTGATTTCGGGTTAGCCCGGTCTGGGTTGCTAACATGTGCTTATCAGCATCAGTAGGGTACCTTTCAAAACAGGGGAAGGCAGAGAAAAAAAGCTGACATTAGAAACAGAGTTTGTTCATCGAAGGGACAAGTGAACGAAGAAAAAAAGAACTCACGGGTGAAGAAAATGTTCAAAGAGCCAAGCACGAAGGATGGCCACCGATCTCTCAGGTAGGCCTCTTTGGGTCCTCCATACGTGTTGTTGGGGCTCATGGAAGCCCACATGATGATAATTAGGCCCACCACCACCACCACCACAGCTCTGCCTTTGGCCCATGTAACCCCTCAGCCTGGTTGATGTGCTGCTAGTACTGCTGGAGCTGAACAGCTCTTCTTCTCCTACCACCACAGATCTTGCCGTTGCTGCAGAATGCTGCTTCAGCTGGTCTGAGATCACATGCTTCATGCTCTTGAAGTTCCTGGTGATGGTCTTGATGGCGAGCGAGACGTACGGCGTCGAGGAGCTCAGGCCGGCCACCGACTCGAACGACGAGACCACCATCTGCATTTGTTGGTGGTACTGCTTGTACCGCTTGCAAACCTTTTTTTGGGAAATCCAATTGGGGAAAACAGCAGAGAAAAAATTAAATCAAAACAAGCAATTCAATTAATGAACAGTGACATCCATCCAAGTAGTACTGTTGGTAATGCAATAATTAGGCAAGTAATAACAGTGATGCCATAATTTTCTACAAATAGCTGTAGTTTGGTGGGAAATAGTAGCTTTCACTGTTCAATTGTAGCTGGAAGTTAGGGGGAAAGGAACAGTTGAGAGACTTGGACCTATTCTTTTCACCTCAATTATGGACTCATTACAATGTAAAAAAGGATGCTCATAGGATTGGGAACTTATGACAGTGAAGGAAAAATTGACAGCCAGAGATTGATCCTATCATCCTATGCATACCCTACTGTCTGTCAATTAAATTATTTGATTGCTCCATTATCAACAAAGACCATCTCCATTACCACACCTAGGTTGCAAAAAGAGTGGGGGCTTCCACTTCTTTGTCGGCTAGCCAATGGGAAACCACAACACCAAATTGGTTCATATCAATGTGCAGACATGACTACTCTCTGTGTTGCCTAACTGATTCAGCGTTTCGTCGTAAACACGTCCTTACGCTTATCCAGTTACGTAGCTGAGCCTAGTTGTAGTTCCAAATGTAAAAGGGAAGGAATTGAATTGAATTCAAGGCATACAAAAGCATCCAAAATGTAAAAGAGAAATTAGGAAACAACCAACCTCTTCAAGCAAGTACAGCAGCCTGGATTTCACCTCGTGGAACTCCGGCCTGTACGTCAGAGAACCTCCACTGCCAGCTCCTCCACCATCGTTCGAGCCACAAATCGCGGCGGTAGAAGACGATGACAAACCACCCGAACCCAAACTGCTCACAACATCTCCAACATCCATCCTACAGCTCGCCACCCCACACCATTCCTCCAAGAGTTCCTGAGCCGGCTTCAAGAACCTCGAGCTCTTCAAGATCGTCGCGTAGCCCGTGAAAGGGCCTAGAGGCCCTACGGTCGTGCTCGCTGTCGTCGTCCTAACAACATAAGAGGCACCCCCAGAACCTCCTCCTCCTCCACCACCACCTCCAACTACAATGGACTTGTTGTCACAACTTCTACCACTAGCAACTTTCACCCCATGATCGTCGTCGCTAGCCACAACCGCGTTACCACCCTTCGATTGCAAGTACGAGCTCGAGTAATGCTCGAGCCCGTCCCCAAAATGATGTGCAGCCACATTGACATCGTTATTATTCGACGCCAGAGACAGAGACAAACCCTCGTGATGGCTCACCGCGCCTGCAACATTATGGTATCCACCGTGAAACATGTTGTGGTGGTACATTGTATTTGTACCACCAACACTGCCACCGTAGTTCATCTCGCCGCCGAGCAGCCCTCTCACGCAACTCTCTTGAATGCCGTAACGTGAGAGGTCCTGATAGCCCGCCGCCGCGACATTGATCAGACCGGACGACGACGAGTATGGATTCTTGGAGTAGTGTAGTGATGGCGATGAGGCGAGATTCGCGGTGGGTGTCGTCGAATCGAATGTAGGCGTGTAGCTGTGGAGAGTGGAAGGAGGAGGCATGTTGTTGTTGTTGAACGTCTGGTGGTAGTGATGATGTGGCGACGATGAGTCGTGGAAGAATTCGGAAGGTGGTGTGACGGTGTCGAACGCGGCGGCGCGTCTGCCGCCGGGGGAAGCATAGTATTGGACCGACGATGACTCCTCCATGGGTTTTGCAATTTTGTTATCTGTGAAAAAATGCAAGCAGTGAACCATTATGTGTAATCATACTTGGATCCAAAGAAGAAATATGGATCGAGGAGAACATATCTCTAGCTAGCTAGAGAGCTACATTTTTTGGTCTGTAACAGTCCTCATCTATGTAGCTGCTACATGTTATTAGACTTTGGCCATGCAATTGGAAAAGCAAAAATCGGGGCTTGATATAATATAATAAGTAAGCACATATATTCTCCATTGTACATTCAAACATTTGTAGTAGCAGTCGTGTGAACAGGAGCGAATATCAAATCAGAGGAACAGATCCATATTCCATTGCTTTGCTTGCCACAGTTGAACACAGAAGAGAAGACCCAGAGAGACGGTAACCCATGAAAACAAACAAGATACAGAAAAAAAAGCCAACAGAAAGGAAAGAAAAGGAAGGAGCATTGTTTATTTCCCACGCGCCGGCGGGCCGGCGCATGCAGCTAAAAGTTTCGGTCTTAGTCATTAGTCAAGCCGTGCCGGGGGACTTGAAAGCTGGAGATCTAGTCTAGTCTCTCAACCGAATAAAACCCAACCAACCAACCTCGTATTTAAACCAGCTAACCTTAGCTTCAGAATTCTTGTTTGTTTTCTCTCCTTTTATGTAAACTATTATTAGCTTCAAAAAAACACCTAATATATATATATGCTGTCGTGAAGAGGCGCAGCTTGAACTACAGTAGTGAAACCCTACTTGTAGATCCGGCCGGCGGCCGGTTTAAGAAATCATGCAGAAGATACGTCGCCGGCCAGGGAGCTCTATTTATCTGGGAAAAAGGCCACTATTCCAGGAGAAGGCATGAAACCATTTGAACCCAAAAACCAAAAACTAAAAAAAAAAAAAAAAGAAACAACTTTGGATTGAAGGAGAGGATGAAAGGAAGGATCCGAGCGGAGCTTATCCACAAATTCATAAAAGAAACAGTAGTACAGTACGAAAACATCTTCAGGGCGAGGAAGTCGATCTTCCCATAAAATCTAAGAAATATTAGGAAAAGGGAACAACATCACATGTAGACGTTAGAGTTTTTGGAGCTTACCGGTTGCTTCGCCGGCGGAGGATGAGAGAGCGATGATGAGAAAGGGAGAGAATGCAGGTCGTTAGTGTTTTTCAGCTTTATATTTTTTTTCTTCCTTGTTTCAATGATGTGTGGGAGTCTGTCTGTCTGTCTGTCTTCTCTCTTGTGAGGGTTTGAGAGAAAGAGCTTTGGATTGGAAGTGGGCCGTGCAAGCAAGCAAGCAAAGCTGTTCAAGGCAAATGCCGAATAGTAATAATTGCCAACTGCGTATGCCTATGAATTATGATGATAATAATAATAATATAAATTAATTAATTATTAAATTTTTACGAAACCTTAGGCGAATGAAAATGCCGTTAGATTTAACGCTCGCTAATACCGCGCGCTCTTTTCTTTTGCCCTGCTCCTGAGCTTTTCTTTCTTTCCGCTCTGTCTCGGATGTTTTCTCCAATGCGCGGTACGGTATCGACCGTTAAAAGCTAACGGTGGTGGGACTTGTTGTTATTTTTTTTTTCTTTCTCCAAAAAAGATTTTACATATTTTAATTCACTTTTTCAGTTTTTTTAGTTCATCCGGCTCAGACGAATCATCCCGACCATTTTTATAAAAAAAATGAAAAAAAAAAGACTCTGAAGCTCGCTCTCCGGCGAGATCTCATTCCATCCGAAAAGCACTGGCGGACATTGTCGCCTGGGGCCGGGGCCCGGCAGCAGGCTGCAGGGAGGGTTTGGGTCTGTTTCCTCGGAAAAACCAAATGCCACCGCCGGTGCCGAATTTGTTTCCGGCGATGTTGATTTGATGTTTCGCGGTGGAAACTCTTGCGGTGTCGTTTGATCGGATGCACCGCTGCTTGCTGAAATTGATGATGATCGTCAAATATCCGCCACCGGTGTCGGCGTCGTTGATTTGATCGATCGAACAGAAAACAAAGAAGATCGTCAAATATCCGCCGCCGGTGTCGGCGTCGTTGATTTGATCGATGCACCCTTGACTTCTAATCAAACAACCGTTACTACGGTTCGCACCTCTCCAAACTACGTTCGAACGAGGGTGTTTGAGTTTAGAGGAATCTACGCTACCGCTACTCCTATGGAGATTCCTGTGGAGAGCTCCGCGACTACGACTAAGACTACAACTATGGAGATCCTTCCTGGAAGGAGAGCTCCGCGAAGGAGTTACAGAGAAAAAAGGTAAAGTTTGACAGATGTGTTTCTGTGTTGATTTTTCGGTCTTTTTTTTCTCTCCTTGCTCCACTGTTTTTATTCGAAAAACTGCTTCGTAGTCTTCACGCTCGGTGGAACCGCTTCCTCAACTGCTCCGTTGTGAAATCCCACGTGTCTCAACCGCTTCGCTCCTCAAACTGCTTCGCGTGAACTTTACGTGAGTTGTTTTCCTGATCCCGCGATGTCGTTTCCTTTCCCAAACAGCTCCGCTTGATTCTACCCGCGACATCGTTTTAATATTAAACGACTCCGCTTCCAGCCTTGCGGTGTCGTTTTCTTTCCCAAAAATCAACACAGAACAACTCTGTCAAAACTTTACCTTTTCTCTGTAACTCCTTCGCGGAGCTCTCCTTCCAGGAAGGATCTCCATAGTTGTAGTCTTAGTCGTAGTCGCGGAGCTCTCCACAGGAATCTCCATAGGAGTAGCGGTAGCGTAGATTCCTCAAAACTCAAACACCCTCGTTCGAACGTAGTTTGGAGAGGTGCGAACCGAATAACGGTTGTTTGATTAGAAGTCAAGGGTGTATCGATCAAATCAACGACGCCGACACCGGCGGCGGATATTTGACGATCTTCTTTGTTTTCTGTTCGATCGATCAAATCAACATCGCACGGCGGTGGATATTTGACGATCGTCATCGTTTTCAGAAGTCAGAGTTGCACCGATCAAATCAACGACGCCGACATTCGGTGGCGGATATTTGACGGTCACGTTGATTTCACCATTCAGAGGTGCATCGATCAAATCAACACCGCCCGGTGGATATTTGACGATCGTCATCGATTTCAGCAAACAGCGGTGCGTCCGATCAAACGGCACCGCAAGAGTTTCCATCGCGAAACATCGAATCAACATCGCCGGGAACGAATTCGGCACCGGCGGTGGCATTTGGTTTTCTTGAGGAAACATTTTGGCACACCTGGTGGGACTCGAACCCACAATCGTTTGATTAGAAGTCAAAGGTGTGTCGATCAAATCAACGACGCCGACACCGGCGGCGGCCATTTGACGATCGTCTTTGTTTCTGTTTTAATCGATCAAATCAACGGCGCCGACACCGGCGGCGGATATTTGACGATTTTTTGCTGACGTGTGTTTTGTGTTTTTCTTGAAAACCGTGCGCAGTTAACACACGAGTTTCGCTAACGAAACATTTTGGCACGCCCAGTGGGACACGTGTGTTTGAAGTGAAATATGGCTCTGCGGCATGGAAAACACAACGTTGATCTTCCACAAGAATCTGGGAAGGTGGAGCATGTGGTCGGTGCCGAATTTTAAGTGAATCCTTATTGGCAATACCTAACGCCACTGTTTTAGCCACAAGTTTAAGTGAATCCTTATTGGCAATACCGGAAACATGTTCATCTATCATCTCAAAAAATTTATCCATATGTCTTCCAAGAGAATCACAAGGCTTATTTAAAGAGATATAATAGAGATTTACCTGCCGGTAATATTCCTCTATAGATCGACGAAGAGACAGGAGTGCAGCACGCCCATCGGTGCTCGACATGGATTGGGGCCACTCCTTCATCCAACCGATATGTCTATTCGCCTCATCTGCCTGACCAACTTCAGTATTGGTCCTTTGCTCGTCCAGAATTTGTTGTGGAAGATCGCAATCTTGTTTTGCTCCAACACCGACTTCAAACATTCTCAGTTGTGTGTGAAGCCACCTGTGACGAGTCAGGGTGTTCACGGAGGGCTTGTTTGGTTTGATCCATGGAGTTGGCAGTGGGTCTGGACCTTTGGCGTGATGGTTTATGCCAAAGTCTAGTTTTTTTTTTTTTTTTTTTTTTTTTAGCTATTAAAAAATAATGTGGCTAAATTAAGCCACACAATATGTTAAAAAAAAATATATATATATAATCAAGCGGCATTGTTAAGAAGAAGCCACTACGTTGTTGGCGGTAGTTCAAGATGGTCAGCAGTGTTGTTTTCTCTTTTCCCAATAGTGTTGGAGGGATGCATAACACTGTTGTAACAAAAGTGTTTTATTTAAAAAATAATAATAATAAATGTTGCCAAGACAGTACGGCTGAAAAAAAATTGTTTGGCAAATAGCATTGCTGAAAGAGTGGCTTGCGAGCCACCATGGAAAAAAAGACTTGCGAGCCAAACTCCGCAATGTTGCGGAAGAGAGAGAAAGTGCAAACAGCTTTGTGAAGTTTATCGTAGCTTTGCGAGAAAAAAAAAATTAGCTCTGCCGCTGTTGCAAACAGCCCTGGCGGAGAATAATATAAAAAAAAAAAATTTGCAGGGCTGGTGCTAGCAGCGCTGATAAAAATAAAATAAATAAAAAAAAATATATTTCCTCAGTTCCGGCCAAAGCAGCCGCGAAAAGAAAAAAAAATAATTCGGCTCTGCCGCTGTTTCCCAACAGCCCTGGCGGAAATATATAAAAAAAAGAAAAAAAATTTAAAGGGTTCTCAGCGCTGCCGAGCCGCTGTTTCTAACAGCCATGAGAAAAAATTAATAGAGGCAGCGCTGGTGGAGAAAAAAAAATAAAATAAAATAAAAGGTTCTCAACGCTGCCCGCTAACAGCCCTGAAGAGAAAAAAATTGCTGCAGCGCTGATGGAGGGCTCTGATATAAAAAAAAAAAAAAAAGTCAGTTCTGCCGCAAACAGCTCGGGGCGGGGCAAAAAAAATTTAATAAATATAGAAAGAGGGCCGCCTAACAGCCCTGATTAAAAAAAAAAAGAATAAATTGTTTTTTTCCAGTTCTGCCGCAACAGCTCTGGCAGAAGAGAATAATAAAAAAAAAAAAAAAAATTTTGCAGCTCTGCCGCTGGTTCCACGCAGCTCTGGCGGAATATATGTAAAACAAAAAAAAAAAATGGTCGTGTAACAACACTACAGACCAAACAACATTGCAATTGCAAGAAGAAAAATCACCGTTGGTAAAGACAAGGATGTAAATATTTGTTAGCTACTTGCTGGTTTGATTAGCTAAATGTGGCCAAGAAAATTTCACGAGTGAAAGGCCAGCCATGTTGATGAAATTTTAGGTGGTATATATTGTGTCAACAATTTGGTTTATAATTCTTATAAACCAAATTGTGGGGGGCATTTGTTGACACCTAAAATTAATTTGGCATGAATTAAATGCCGCATTAATTAGTCTCGGCATTTAATTCGATACCGCTGGTAAAAAACGGTGTCGTTTGGAGTTGAGCGGTATCGCAAGAAGTTAAAACGATACCGCGAAACAACGGTACCGCAAGGAGGCTCAACGGTACCGCGGTACTGGAAACGATAATAAAAAGGGCCGTGCGTGCGGGTTCTTGTTGGAGAAGGAGTTTTGTTCATAATTAATTAATATTTTTATTATTCCTTGTTGGAGGAGGAAAATCGGTACCGCACGGAGACAAGCGGTACCGCAGAGCTAAAACGGTACCGCGAGGAAGCCCAACGGTACCGCTATACTAGCAAACGACCGTGTTTAATAATAAACAGTGTCGCGGAAGAAAAAAAACAAACGGAGTTGGTTGAGAAAGAAAACGACACCGCAAGGTTGGAAGCGGAGTCGTTTAATATTAAAACGATGTCGCGGGTAGAATCAAGCGGAGCTGCTTGGGAAAGGAAACGACATCGCGGGATCATGAAAGCAACTCACGTAAAGTTCACGCGAAGCAGTTT